AAAATAGGATTTCAGCATTCATCATAATCTTTCTTTCTTGTCTTTGTTGGATTTATTATGATTTTATGAGATTTTTAAGGAAATTGTGTGTGTGTGTGTGTGTGTGTGTGTGTGTGTGTGTGTGTGTCTGTGTGTGTCTGTGTGTGTCTGTGTGTGTGTGAATGGAGGTTGAATCCATGGTCTTCTAGATGTGAAATATGACATCTACAACTGAGATATATTCTTGACCCCAAATCTATATTTGATGTCAGATATATATTATAAATTTGCATGAAAATTTTTATCAAGCTAATATTTCATTTTCAAAAGGAGATTGAAAAGTCCTCACACACATTGTTCAGCAAAATGATCACCAAACATTTAATCATTTTAATTCAAATTGTATTCTGTATAATTTCTTAAAAATGGAAATATGCTGGAATAGCTGAACTATATTACTAAAACATCAAAATATTAACTCACATAACCACACACTAATTCAATATATGAGCTCCAAAGTTCAAAAATTAATATTAAGCTGAATAATCTTATTTTGATATTTTTAGATTTATGCAAAACAAAACTTAGTGAAAAGCAAATTTACTTTGGTCAGTAAAAATGTTCTAGAATGTAACATATGGATGCAAAGAATTTTAACATTCAATTTTAAAAAGCATTCAGTGTATAGACATAAATCACTTCATGATAGTATTTTCACCAAGTATCTGCAAGCAAAAGTTATGACCCCACATCCAGTGAAGGGTAGTTTTCATGCTATGTATATTTCTGCTGCAATAAAATAATGGCCAATTAATACCATTGGGCTTAGCCTGCTGGCCCAGGTCTCCCTGATTCTTTCTTTCTGCATTCTTTAGCTGATTATTCTAAACCCATCTCCATTCATTTGTGACACCCAGCCAACCTGCAGAACAAGGGACTCTACCAGGTTTAACATGAATTTCTAAATGGGTTAATAAAAAACCCGTAGCCAGATATGGGGCGAAAGATGAGAAGAGATCAGAGGAATAGAGCAAGCCAGCCACAAATTCTTACTGCTAGGAAATCCTCAGCCCAAGAAAGAGCTGCTTTCTGTATATTCATGCTTATATACTTTTCTGTGCTCTACCATCTAACTTCCTTTCTCCACCCAACTACATCACTTCCTCTTTCTGCCCAGCTCTATCACTTCCTGTCTGTCTGTATAGACCTCCAGACTTCTATGTTTAACTAGTGCTGGGATTAAAGGTATGTGCCACCACGCCTGGCTCTGTTCCCAGTGGGGCATTGAACTCACAGAGATCCGGATGAATCTCTGCCTCCCAAATGCTAGGATTAAAGGCATGTGCTACCACTGCCTAACCTCTGTGTTTAATATAGTGGCTGGCTTTGTCCTCAGAACCCCAGACAAGCTTTATTTGTTAGAGCACAAATAAAATATCCCCACTACCTGGCATCCCTCAACCTCCACAATTAGCTGTCAGTTCACTATATGGCTCAACTCTCATGAGAGAATCATCTTGTTCTGGTACAGAGTAAATAGTAGAGAGATCCACACCTGGACAATGTGCAGAGTGAGACAATTTGGAGTCTTCACCACTGAATGGGATGTCTTTATCTTACCTTCCACTCAAGGTTCAGGGATCTATGTGGAAAAGGAGACAGAAAGATTATAAGAGCCAGAGGTGATAGAGAACTGGAAAAAAAGTTTCTTCCAGACACAAAATGGCTAATACACATATGAACTCTAAGACTATAATAACACACATAATACCTGCAGAAGTTCAAAGCAGGCAAAAACCCAGCAAGAGAAAGGGAAGTGGCACAAAGTTTTATCTCTAACAAACTATTAATACCCATTGAGGGAGGGAAAATCAATTTTCTCCAATGGGGTGTTTATATCAACCCAACTCTAGTGCAAGAACTGTACTCATGAGTAGTTATCCAACACAAAATAGACTCCTTGCTTTTTGTATATTTGTTCTTATTCTCTCTCTCTCTCTCTCTCTCTCTCTCTCTCTCTCTCTCTGTGTGTGTGTGTGTGTGTGTGTGTGTGTGTGTGTGTGTGTTTGTCTGTATATGAGTATTTGCCTGTTTGTATGTCTATATACCAAGAGCATGTCTGGTGCCAACATAGGATGGAAGAGGGCCTTGAATTCCCTGCAACTGGAGTTATAGATGATTGTGAGTTGCCCAGTGGATGCTGGGAATTGAACTCTCATCCTGCAGAAAAGCATCCAGTACTCATAATGACTAACCCATCACTCCAGCCTCATGGCTTGATGTCTTTGGTATGGTATTTTTATTGTTTGTTTTGGTTTTTATTTTATTTTATTTTATTTTGTCTTTGAGGATACATTTATTGTGAGAAAGTAAAAATTTTCAAGTTGGATAGGGAGGTACAGAGGATGTAGGTGGAGTTGGAGAAGTAGAAAGTATGTGATTGAAGTATACTATCTGAAAATTTTTTAAGACAATAAATACAAAATGATATATATTACAAAGTTTATATCTATAACATGAAATTACACAAATTATAATATAAAATATATTTGTAAGCTTGGAAGCAACCCTTGAGATGTTTAACCAGAAATATTTTCACACTGTTAATTAAAACTGTAAAATATTCTCTATTTAGCAGGATTACTATGAACTTACCTCATAATTTATTATGTGTACAAAGAGCACTATCTTAATTAAAAAGTCACAGTTCGAAAGAAAATCTCAACAGAAGTTCCTGTAATTTGAAAGTGTGTTGGTGTTGTAGTGAGATGATAAAATCCTGCCTTTTAACAGGAACAAGGTTCTGGGTTTGTGTATGTGGAAAACAAAATTCATTCAATCAGTCAATAATTGATTAAGGAGCTAGAATGATGCCTCAGAATTTAAGAGTAGCTTCTGCTCACCCCAAGAACCTGTGTAAGGTTCTCTGTGCACAGGTCAGGTGCTTACCAGGTAGACTTAGTTGCATGAATTATTATACTCTTCTCTGGCATATGCAGCCAACCTCACAAAAGTGACATTCAGTCATACAGACACATGGACAAACACATAAATCAATATAATAATCAAGTAAATACAAATTGTAACTTTGGAGAAATTTCAGCATTTTTGTGTCAAATTTTAAACATAATAATACTATGGGAATATATTTTTCAAGTATATAATATCAAGATTCTGCAGTGTGTAAGAATATCCTAACATGAAATATATACTGGCTAATTCTGGTTAATTAGTGTCTAGTAGCTGAATTAAGAAAGTATGTCTTGTCTTTTAGAAATATGTACAGTATTTCATATTTAATTTCTGATGACTTTGAAATTTAGAAGTATTTGTTTTTCATATTTAAGAATTTTATTGCCTTTAATTGTTTCTCTCTCTCTCTCTCTCTCTCTCTCTCTCTCTCTCTCTCTCTCTCTCTCTCTCTGTGTGTGTGTGTGTGTGTGTGTGTGTGTGTGTGTGTGTGTACATGCACATGAGTACAGAAGCCCCACAGGCCAGAGATGAAGGATCTCCCTGTGTTGTAAGATATTCTGTTCGTTTTCTGACAAATAAAGCTTACCTAGAGATCAGAGGGCAGAGCTAGCCACTAGTTAACTATAGATGCCAGGCAGTGGTGGAACACACCTTTAATCCCAGCACTTAGGAGGAGGAAGCAGGAAGATCAGGAGTTCAAGGCCAACCTGGGCTACATGAGATTGATCCAGTCCAAAAGAGAAACAGAGATGGCCAGTGGTGGTGCATGCCTTTAATCCTAGCACCACAGAGGTAGAGACAGGAATATAAGGAGGGTGGAGACAGGATCTTGGGTCCATTCAGTCTGAGGATTCACAGACACAGGACCCTGGCCATTAGGTCTCAGATTTCATAGAGGTAAGTCTTTGGTGGCTGACTACTCTGCTTCTCTGATTTTTCGGGTTTCACCCTTGATTTCTAACTCTAGGTTTAATTATTAAGACTAATTAGGATCACACTTCATCTGGCATCAACTTCTGGGGCATGAATTCACAAAAAAAGCCACTTTCCTGTGCCTTTGCAACCACCAGCACACACCAGAGCTGCATGCAGGGGCTCCCGCTAGAGTTGCCGCCTCGACAGATAGGTTTTCCTTTCGTTTTTTCCCCAAACCTCTGAGCAAGTTTAGGATTTTTCTGTTGTGGCAAACTCCACAGGTTCGTGGCTCCAAATGCTGCCAGAATTGGCTGTATTTAGCTGGAGTTAGCTTTTGCAGGTTCCCCTGTGCAGACAGTTGGCTCTTTGGCTTCTCCCTCTCCCTGTGGGTTTTGGGCTTTCCCTGGACCACCTCCTCAGGCTGCTACCACACTAGGTTGACACCCCTTCTGGCTTCTAGTGTTCTACCTAGCAGTAGTCAGCCTCACACTTCACCATCATCTTCACTGTCATTGTCAACAGATTTGGTGAGACAACCGGAAATTCTTAAAGGGAGGAATCAGTTAAAAGAGAGGGGATTTTTTTTCCCCACATTAAAAAAATGGGAAACACTATTATGATGGAGAGAGATAGGTCTCTTTATGATTACACAATGCAAGTTTTTAAAATGGAACCGTTAAATGAAGGGATAACCAATTCAACTGGGATTGACATAATGTTAATTATCATTTTGATAATCTTTTTTGTTAGCTTGATAATTCCTGGTTTATCGCTACAAAAGTTGGTTGATATGAAGGCCAAGATACAGGCTTTATAAAAACTTATTAAAATGGATCATAGAGATATTCAGATCCAAACAGAGGATTTTAAAGAGAACCAATCTCACCATTACATTATAAAATTAGAGAGGAGCCGGGTGGGGGTGGCACATGCCTTTAATCCCAGCACTCAGGAGGCAGAGCCAGGAGGATCTCTGTGAGTTCGAGACCAGCCTGGTCTACAGAGCGAGATCCAGGACAGGGACCAAAACCACACAGAGAAACCCTGTCTTGAAAAAAAGGAAAAAAAAAATTAGAGAGGAACCGCCCAAGGTTTTCAAACAACTAACCTTAGCTTATCTGGTCATCTTGCAGGAACAACTGACAAGTGACAAGTATCCCCAAGGCTTTGTAAGAGCTGACTGGATTCCTGTGGAAATGTTAGATTTGAGGAAATTTAAGGAAGTGATAGTCTCATATGGTATGCATTCACCTTTTGTGGAGCAGATGTTAAATTCATGGTCAACTAGTAACAGAATTGTCCCACAAGACTTGAGAGACTTGCTTACAACACTTTTGGAATCTGGTCCTCATTTAGAGTGGAAGACCTGGTGGAAAGATGAAGCTACGACCATGAATAAGAATGAAGCAGGGCTAGAGGTATTGAAATCACCGAAGACCAACTTCTTGGAAAGGGAGATGATGCTGATGTACAAAGATAGTCTCGATAGGATGACCACACCTGGGCTTTGTGCTGTGCAAAGCTTTCTATGCTTGAGACTGAATTGAAGAAGTTGAAAAGAGAACCGAGTCATTTACTGAAGTTATACAAGGCCCAGAAGAAACCTTCCCTGATTTTTTATAGAGATTGACTTTAGCTGTAAATAGAATGATTCCAAATTCAAAAGCTAGACAAATAATAATTGAATCTTTGGCTTTTGAAAATGCTAATTCCCAATGCAAAAGGGTAATTAGGCATTTAATGGAAAGATCAGCACCCATAGAGGGATGGATCCAAGATACAGTCAATATTGAATCTCATCACCATGGTGATTCTTGTTTAGGAGATGTGATTTCCAGAGGCTTGAAGAAAAATCAAAATGTCAAGTGTTTTAATTGTGGCAAACAAGGGCCCCTAGAAAGGTGTTGTAGACAGGGCATTCCTAGAAACAATGTTTTTGCTAGGAATACTCCAAACAAAAGGGCCCTCCCTTCTGGAGTATGCAAAAGATGTGGCAAAGGCAGACATTGGACCAATGAGTGCAGATCAACAAGGGACAGAAAGGGTAACCCTTTGCCATCAGAAAACACCTTGGGGGGCCTCTCACAGACCCTCATGTTAAATTTGGTTTAGTCATTCACTGTGAGGGAAACTCTGCCACAGAGCAATTAAGAGACCTTATGCTTATTGTAAAAAAACATGAATGACAGAACAGCTTTTAGAAGATGAAACAAAAATTTTGGAGAAACCAGAGCAAGAGACCTCTTAATTAGAAAAGGTGACAGTTCATCAACCAGCACGACCATTCAATCTAAATTAATTTATGGTTAAACTAACTGACAAATGCTTTTCATTTGATCAGATATACCTTGCCCAAACGCAAACTCCCCAAGTTATGGTTGGGGCAAGGTTTTGTTTTTGTCTTTCCAGGAGAATGAAGGCATCCAGCTAAGGATTGTGAAGACTACTGGACAAATGAGACATCTGAAGAAAAAGGACAAATCATCCAGAGAAAATGTCCCAAGAAAAAGACGATCTCTGAAGTCTCTGAAAAGATGATGGGGCCCCACATTGATCATTCTACCTGGACTACGGTAACACCCCTAAGCTGACAAATACCACCAAAAGATTGGATTTTGGACTACAAATTACTCAGGAGCATTTAAAGGTGGTTAGCTGAGATGATCCAGCCTCACAGACTACTTTAGCCAGGACTTGAGACAAGCCCTGCACTTTTTCATTATATAGAGACTAGGTAACATATGATATAGCTATCTCTTTCAGGACTTGACAAGTATCCCAATTTTTTTCAGGGTTCCATAAAGATGCTGTCTTCCCCAGACAGCAGGAAGTAATTTTAAGAATACAACACCCATATTCTCAAGAGGTGGGCAGTTTTCAGTTAATTAATGTGTTATGGATATTTGTCACCATTTAGGGTGGTTAGTTACAAGTTGTTATTAGTAATGGTCAAAAAAAAAGCTAGACAAAGGCAATTATATTCAGGAATTTTGTTCTAAAAAGAAGTGGGATATAGAAATAGAATAAAAAGGTAGATTATTGAATCTACTTTTAGACCAGAAAAGCAACTACTAGTTTTAAATATTTTGCATTAACTTGGATTTCTGTATATTGATACAAAGTTGAGGTTATTTTTGTTTTACTGTATATATGTTATAGAAATGATAGGGGGAAAAAAGTAGATTATTGAATCTACTTTTAAACCAAAACAGGCAATTACCAGTTTTAAATATTTTACATTGCTATGAATTTCTGTATATTGATAAAATTTAAGGTTATTTTTGTTAGAGCATACTGTACATATGTTCCTACACTTGTTCAAAGTATTGTAGCTATACAGCTCATCTAACAAAGTAATGTCAATTTCTAGTCCCTGAAAGACATTATTACAAGCTATTTAAGATAATAAGGAAATGCAGGTTAGTAGTTACTCACTTATTACAATCAAACTTGTAGTCATATTAGGTATTTTTTTCAAGGTCAACCAGAGATATATTTTATATAGGCAGATGGTCTTCAAACACTTCAGAGATCTAAAGAATATGGCATTTAAGATAATTTAATAACATAAGGTTCTTTTTTTTTTATGACAATGAGGCATGTCTGTTCCTGACAGCACCAATCTACTTCAGAGAAGATGATGGGTATCAAAGAAACTCCATGTGGAGTTTACTTTCTTTGTGGCAAAAGTTAGCCACTGCACAAGAAGCTGCCATTGCCTCGACTGCTGACAGTGTGCTGTCCAAAGCGGACATGCAGGACACAAAAGAAAGTGACTGCAGAACATTGTCAAGAAAAGGTGGGACAGTCCTTTGTCCTGATTCACAGAGGATATTCTAGGCCTGCAGGCCAAAGGTGGATGCCCCAACATTACAGAGGAACTTTAAGTGATTGTACAGGCAAACAGAAGTTTCTATCATTTCTTATTGTTGGAAGTTGTTTGCTCTACACTTCCTGTTTACTCAGGTAATAATGTATCCTTCTCAAATTTCTGATGGAGTTGAACACTAGATGGCTATAGTTTTCCTTTTTAACAAACTCAGAAAAGAAACACACAAAGGAGATGTAAAGTGCATAAGGTTGAGAGACATAAAAATGTAGTTTTGGGTTGATAATGCAAGTTAAGATAGAAAGTGAATTAGGTACAACACTTTGGACTCACCAAGATAGGATAGATAATGGAGTATTTTCTCTGAATTTGTCAAATGTTAATGAACTAGACATTGTTAATATAATTATTGACTGTATATATTTGTATATAGTTATTATACATATTGTATATAGTTTTATGTTAGTTAAAACCTTCGCTTTTTGTTTAGACAAAAAGGGGGTAATGATGTATGATATTGTGTTTGTGTTCTGACAATTAAAGCTTCCCTGGAAATCAGATGGCAGAGTTAGCCACTAGATAACCATAGACACAAGGCAGTGGTGGCACATACCTTTAATCCTAGCACTTGGGAGGAAGAAGGATCAGAAGTTCAAGGCCACCCTGCGAAACATGATATTGATCTAGTCTAAATGAGAAACAGAGTGGTAATGCATGCCTTTAATCCCAACATTAAGAAAGTAGAGACATGCCAGGCAGTGGTGGCACACGACTTTAATCCTAGCAATGAGGAAGCAGAGGCAGACGAATCTCTGTGAGTTCGAGGGCCAGCCTGGTCTACAAAGCGAGTTCCAGGAAAGGCACAAAGCTACACAAAGAAATCCTGTCTCAAAAAACCAAAAAAATAAAAAACAAAAACAAAAAAAAAAAGTAGTAGAGATAGGAATCTTCATAGAGACAGGACCCTGGCCATTAAGTCTGAGATTTTGTAGAGCTAAGAAGTCTTTGGTGGCTGGCTACTCTGCTTCTCTGATCATTCAGCTTTCACCCTCAATATCTGACTCCTGGTTTTTATTGATTAAGACTAATTAGAGCCCCACTTCACCCCTGGAGCTGGAATTACAGGCAGTTGTGCATAGCCATATGTTGGTTCTAGAAATGCCCCTGGGTCCAAGCAAGGGCTGACTGTGAGCAAGTGAGATTCCTTCACAGTTTCTGCTTCAGTTATTGCCTTAGATTTCTGCCTTGACTTCCTTCATGATGAACTGTGAACAGGAAATGTAATCCAAACAAAACCTTTCTCCTCCAAATTGCTTTTGGTCATTGTACTTTTTTAATTGTTTATTTTTTTCTCTTTTGTCTTGTTTAAAGTTGATATTTTATTGTAATTACAACATGTCTCCTTCTATTCTCTCCCCTCCCCTCCCTTCTCTCCTTCAAGTTCATGGCCTTGTTTTTCATCAAATGTTATTACATGCACATATGTATTTGCAATTACACATATATTCCTAAATATAACCTGTTGAGTCTGTATAATATTACTTATATCTATGCCTTCATGGCAGACTATTTAGCTCTGGACAACCAATTACCATTCTCTTGCCTGGGGAAGGCCACCTCTCCTGTTCCTAGCTTTACTTAGTTGACTATTGTTCTTTGTGTAAGGTTGAGGCCTTGTGCAGTTTTTCCTTATCCAGTTTGGCACACTTGCTGGTGTTATTCTTGTTCATCTCATGGTTGGGCAGTCATGTAGTTGAGAATTGTCAGGTATAGTTTCTGATCCTTTTTAGGCAACATAATCTCACAGGAAATACCCTGAACTTCTGGCTTTTACAATCTTTCCACTCACTCATCCACAATGTTTCCCTGAGTATTAGGCACAGGATGTTTTATAGATGTATCCATTTGGAATAGGCTCCATAATGCTTTATTTTTGTTTGTTTGTCTGTTTATAACAATTAATTCCTAAATGCCAGACAACAGGAACAACAAGATATCCTTCAAGTGATGAATTAACAAGAAAGAAAACTATAGTGCTACTGTTATAAATAGAACGTTATGCCACAATAAAAACAAGTGATATGTGGAGATATCAAAATATCTGGGTGAATTTTAAATTTATATCACCAACTAAAGACAGCCAGCTACCATTTCACACATACCATTGTTTGAAAGGCAAAAATATTGGACTGATAAAGCATCATTGATTAATAGGAATTTGGGGAAGGGTAAAACCTGAATAGGTAAAACAGAGAAGCTGTGAACAGCAATTATGTTATCCCAGATGCCAAATCTCTCTCCTATTCCTAGGCGCTGAGCCATTTCCTCATCCCCTGAAAGTGATTTCAATAAAACAATTACACATCTTTTAATATATTACCAGTTTATTCTACAAATAAAGACAAATGAAGATGCAAAACAAATGTGTTTAAATATTTAATTTTCCTCTCACAGTGTCAAGGTTTAGATAATGAATTTTTATGGCATGCTGACTTTTATGACTATTTAACTTCAATATATATAAGCAGGTTTAGTAAATGGTAGCTGTGATCTGTTCTCAGATTAAATTGGAGGAATAAATAAAGCATTACTCTTGGTTATGGAATATCCATGTTTTCATTTTACATAATGATGACAAAGTAAAATGAAGCAACTATTTCTTATTTGTCATGATAATTAGACATAGAAATAGCAACTGTTCATAAAGGAGTGGTGATCATTCACTGATACAGTAGAAATTCTTTCCTCAGGAATTTCAAATAACAATGATTCAGAAACTGAAAGTGTTTTTTTTTTATATTTTGATACTGGGAGGATATGAACAGGGGTATCTCCCCAGCTCTCTGCCCATATAATTATGTTCAAATAGTGAATTTCCGGTTCAGTAACAGACACTGAAAGAACTAATGTTCTGAGGGCAATAGAGAAAGACACCTGTTGTCTCTTTCTCTCTTGCCTCATCATGCATGTACACATGTGTGTATACAAACCTCAAACTCAAATGTATACATACACCAGCCCACATAAACAAAAATCCCACACCAAATTTTTAAATAGGAAAAAAAATCCTTTGTTAGTTAAGTCCATCAAATCAGTCTTACTTTCCCCTCCAAAGGTTAGATATCTTTTGAAATTTCATAAAATGTTAACATATTATCTCAGTAATGGTTCTCAAGCCTCTGGTTTTAAATTTCAAGGTCCATAAGGAAGGTCAACACTTTTCCTTAAGCTTGCTAGTTGGACAGTGAATTGTTAGTGTATAATATTTCTTTTGCAATTATTTTTTTCATTTATTTTGCCCCCAACTCCATCCAAATCCTCCACTTCTCTCCCCACCAAACTCATGTTTCTTCCAAAAATAAGAAACACTTTGTGAATTTGTGGGCCATCTTCTGTGTCATTCCACATTTATTATATATGCTGCTGGGATGAGCATGCCCAATATATCTTATTTATCTTTTGCATGCTTTCTTATTGGACATCTTAATACATTAAAGAAAAAAAGGTGGAGGAATTCATTAAGAGTTCTTATTATTGCCACCATATTTATAGCATGGTTGTACATGGGAAAACTATTCAAAGAGGACATTTCATTGTTCTTGAGAGTAAATAATAAAAAGAGGTAAAGACATGTACTGAAAAAAAAAGAAGTTGTCAAGCTACAAAATCTTAAAATGTTATTTATTGAGGAAGCTGATATTTTTATGTCCTAAAAATAGAGACATTTTAAAAGAAGAACAATGGTTCATTTTACAGTTGTTAAGGGTGATATAGAAAGTTTTGGGCTGGGATGATGGATAACAACACTTGCTGCTCAAGCATGAGGCCTTCAGTTCAAGTCCCAGCATCCACACATAAACTCAGCACTGTGTTGGTGGAGACAGGAGGGTCAATGGGGCTTCTGATAGTCAGAGCAGCTCCAGATTCAAGGAGAGACTTTGACTTAAAGGGATAAAGCCAAGAGTTATCAATCAGAACAACCCTACTAACTTCCTCTTTTGCCCTCTAGGTGTATTCACACACAACACAACATTCACACACATAAACATTCACAATAAAACAAACCAATAAAAAAGAAGGCAGCCAATGGTGAAAAGAGGCTCCTTGAATCCCATCTGCAGGTGTGTTGTTAAGGGAAGAGCTTATGAAATAGTACATGTGGATGTCCAGGGGAACTCTGTCTATACATCACTCTGAAATTTGTCTTTTTTTTTTTTTTTTTCGAGACAGGGTTTCTCTGTGTAGCTTTGCGCCGTTCCTGGATCTCGCTCTGTAGACCAGGCTGGCCTCGAACTCACAAAGATCCGCCTGCCTCTGCCTCCCGAGTGCTGGGATTAAAGGCGTATGCCACCACCACCTGGCGAAATTTGTCTTTTTTAACAGGGGGAAGGTATTCATATTCTAACCTGAAGATTTATATTTACCTGTGAATAACTGAACTGTAATTATACAATTATGGAAATATAGCTAAGCTGGGGGCTTCTTAGAAGTTTTGCTCTATAATTCCATTTAATATACCTCAGCATAATGTTACTGGCCACTCTGATAAATTAACGATAAATTTTATCTCAAAAAATAAGTGTTTAAAAATTTATCCATTATCTTGATGCTTGGTTCAATCATTTCTGGTAATTCTTAACTTTGTTTTGAAATAATTAAGTTAAATGAATTATAATCTGCCATTTACATTTGAATTAAAAGGATAAATGGTTTAAAAAGTTATGTTTTACAGTCATGGATGATTTTTTTTCCTGGAAAACAAAATCTTCTTTGTGAATGTATGAATCACTGTTTTTTAATAAGTTTTGATAAAAGCATGCAATAATTTTATAGAGCAACAGAGAAGGTTATAATTCAAAAATTGAATTTCACATGGGGTTAATTAAGATAATTTTGCAAATATTAAATACATATTAAATTGTAAAAGTCTAAAAACAATTGGAGTAAATAAAAGTGCATAACCCTCTATTTTTATGGGATGTATTTTGTTTCATCAAGTCCAGTTTAATCATTCATATGACTTTCACAAGCTCAAGACTGACCAAAACCCCAGCATGGAGGAAGGGGAAGTGAACACTACACCTCACACCAGCCAAGAAGCTATTCACAGTTGATAGTGCTTGCAGAGGGAAAATCAGTTTTCTTCAATGGAGTGATACCAGGTATTCAACCACACTACAGGGCAGTGTGCTCAAATATTGTATAAAATTCTCAAGGAAGGAATAAAACAAAACATAATAACACTATAACTTCTCATATTATTTTGGAAAAAATTTTAAATATCAAGAGAGAATGTTATGTTTTAGTTTAAAACTATAATGTAAAGGGCAAATGTTACAATTGTGAATTTTGGTTTAAAGCATGCAGTATAGCAGTCACTTTCAGTAAATATAGTAACAACAAAAATAATCTGCAAGTTTCTTTCTAAATGCCTTGTAATTTTTTTTTTTTGCTCTGGTTTTTGTTTATCCTATTCTGAATTTCCTGGTCACTCATAAAAATACTAGAGTAATCCTGACATCTGATTTCAACTTGAAATCTCATTGAAGTTATTCATAAAGCATTGATAAATATAATAAAATTTTAATGCCTCTTAAAAAGCTTTCCTGCCCTTTAAATTATCTCAGTTCTCCTTGGCCGGTGATGGATGCAGTAAAATCAATGTATCATGGCTGATGTGATGGAGATACAGAAAGACGCCCGTAGATGGCTCCCAAAGAATATGCATGTACACACTGTCTTAAAAGTTTGGATATCTGACTATTCAAATTAGCCAGTGTTACAAGATTTTCTTACAAATGTATCCAAACTAATTTCAAAGTGACTGAAATTGACAGTTTATGTTGAAATCATGATTTTTTAATGCAAAGTTTTGGCCACAGATAGGAATATAAAATGACCTCTGAATTGTGTTACACATTGTTTCTTTTAATTCCATTGAAAGTTTTTGTATGAGAAGTCTATGGTTTAGACCAGAATTCCTAAGGGCTTATGAATTGAAATCTCAAGTCCCAGTCTGTAACACTACTGAGAGATGACAAAACCTATATGAACTGGTGTCTATTCAAAGAAAAATCAGGCAAAGAGGTGTGTGCTGGTGTCCAATCAGTCTTCTCTTTGTGTTCTTCTTGATTGCTACATGGCAAAGGAGTTTCCTGTTTATGCTCTATGTCAAGCTGACCTGCAATGTCATAGACTTAAATGAAAGAGAGTCACCAAATATATAAGGAAACTTCCAGAACTGTGAACAAACATAAACCTTTATCTTCATAATTTAATTATCTCACACATTGTTATAGCAATGAAAAGTTGAGTAAATAAAGTAAAAACAGGAAATTAAGTAAAAACAGTGAATAATTATCGATAATTGAATATTATTTAAAGTAATCTCTTTGCCTAAACTAAAAATCTATTAATTTTTCAAGAAACACATTTTCTGTTTTGAACATAATTTATAAACTCATTAATTAATAAATGTATATTTCAGCTTCAAAATTAAATGAAATTAAATATTTGATACATCATTTCTTTTATTTTAAACAGATGCAGCATGGAATAAAATTATAGCTTTCCTGTTATGTTATCCTTTCTAATGCTTTATTTAAATAGAAATAATATAATAAAATATTATTACTAGTTCTTTGATTTTTTTCATATAACATAACATGTTTTATCATATTCATTTCTATGTTCCAATTCTTGTCCACTCAAACCTTCATTACCCTCCAAACATATATTTTTTTTTTATAAAACCCATTAAGATTGGCTTGCGCTGTCCAAACATCCTTGAATGTGTGGTTGTCAGAAGGTGAATGATTGACTTACCACTAAGAACAACATTAGAGAAAACTTTCTTTCTCCTAGCTGCTAACAATTGCCAATGCTTTCTTGGTTAAGGGTTAGATTTTGTGCCCAAGTTCCATTTTCATGCTGAGATTTGGTCTGTCTTGGGCTTGGCTACTTTACTATAACCATTATTTTTTAGTTTATTGACTTATAATAATATTCTACTTGTTAATATTTATGTATTATAACATGTAATGTCTCTTCCTTCATGTTTAGTCTTTAAATTTAGCAAGAATTTTTGTCACTTTTCACCCAAGATTACTTTGCAAATTGATATATTTTCATCTAAAAACTGTTTATGCCTCCACTTTGCTAATTGTTCATTTTATCTCATAATTAAGATGGTTCAGACACTTTTGTGGTTGTTTTTTACTATTTAGAGCAATTTTTAAATTTAAATATATTTTAATCATATTTTTCCCTTTTCTAAGTCCTTCCAGATTCTCTCCCCCTCCTTACCCACCCTACTTAAGTTTTTTATGGTGGTATTTTACTTGCACTGAAATGTGATTTTAATTGTATGTTAATAAATAAAGTTGCCCAGGAGTCAGAGCTATTAGAGCCATAGCAAGAGCGTGGCGGTGGTGGCGTACACCTTTAATCCCAGAACTTGGTAGACAGAGCTAGGTAGATCTCTGTGTGTTCAAGGATACAGCCAACATTGGAGACACATGCCTTTAATCTCAATACCATAGAGGACCTGGAGGGCTGTACATACAGGCAGTGACGAGGCAGTCACGTGTTTGGGTTTACAACCAATGAGAAGGCAGAACAGAAAGACTATTTAAAGACATACACACAGGAAGTAGGCCCCTTTTTTCAGAGAACTCTCTTGGCTGAAGCAGGAAGGGTAAGGCTCTTAGTTCTAACCTCTTGGCTTTCTTCTCTGAATCGGCTCTGTGTTTCTTATTTAATAAGACAGTTGGTTACATCTACAGTTTTTCCTCAAGGAAATAAAATAAAATACAGCAACAAAACCAAGAAAACAAAATAAAGTATCCTCCCTAAAAAAGCCACCAAACTGTAACCAAATAAGAGCATATAAAAACTGTGGAGTCCATTATATGGTTATCCTGGAAAGATATACCCAGTTTCATTTCCATTGGAGAAAACTGATTTGTCCTCTCCCAGCAGATATAAATCACAGTTCAGCTGTTAACCTTTATCCTAGTGGCTATGTTTTCATTCATTCATTCATTCATTCATTCATTCATATTTTTTAAAAATAACACTATTAAATATAATAAGAAAAACAAAAACTATCACATTGAAGTTGGACAGGACAACCAACAGAAGGAAAAGAGCCCCCAAGAAGGCACAAGAATCAGAGACCTACTTGTTTGCATACTCAGAAATGCCATAAAAACACCAAAGTGAAAGCCTTGATAAGTATGTAGAGGACCTGGTTCAGACCTGTGCTGGCCCTGTGCATGCTGGCTCAGTTCTGCAAGTTCATGTGAACTTTGCTCAGTTGATTTAAAGAATCTTGCTCATCTGGGGTTGTCCATCCCCTTTGGTTCCTATGCGCTCTCCACCTTCTCTTCCTTGGGGTCCCCTGAGCTCCTAGCAGGAGGGATTTAATGGAAACATCCCAATTAGGAATGGGTGTTCCAATCTCTCACTCTCTGTGTATTGTCTGGCAGTGTCTATATTTGTTCCCATATGCTATAGGAGGAAAGTTCTCTGATGATAGCTTAACAAGACACTGATCTATGTGTATAATAGGATATGATTAAAAGTCATTTTATTACAACATTTATTTTCTGGTTTTAGACCAGTAATACTTGGTTTTACTGTAGGTTCCTGGGCTTTCTAGCCTTGGATTCTGGTTTTAACCAGTTAAGTGTGCTGACAATACATGACACTTAAGAAAATATGAAGTAATATATAATTGGTAGTCTAAGCAAACATCTATAAGAATTTTCCTGTATCGTAGTTGTAATGATTACACTTTATATAGCAACCTTACGAGAGTCTGGTGTATAATATCAATGTAGATGCAGTGAAGATGCTTTGGTGGACAATATTCACATATAAACTTCATATAACTTAGGGAAAAGATTTTTCTTTATCATGTTCTAGGTTTGATCAGATACATCAAATTCTTCAAGAGCAGGAACTAAGTTTTCTAAGAAAAAAACCAAATCTTTTTTTATGACTGTGAGATTGAAATGTTCCCTGAGTTTTCAGCCTGAAGACCATTCTACAGAATTTGTTTTAATTTAAATTAATTCAATTTAATTTAAATTTATAACAGAGTCTTTCTATGTAGTCCTGGCTGTCCTGAAACTCCCTATGTAGAGCAGGTTGGCCTCGAAGTCATGCTGATCCTCCTGTCTCTGTCTCCTAAATGCTAGGATTAAAGGTGTG